AAAAAAAATCCACAAACGTATTTACCTTTACAGTCATCGTTAAAGTTTTAAATTCTGAAATTAAGATTGATTGGAGTTTTATACTTGCGTTTATGATGCCCTCAATTATTTTTCAGGGAAGACGTTTGCTCACAAGTCTATCTTTCTCTAGAAATGGCCTTTCTGTTTTTGACTTTTCTTATTCTGGCACTGCCAGAAGGATACAAGGCTGAAGATGCCTGTTTTAGAGTGGTTGGACGAGTTAATTGCGGTTCAACGGAGTATGTGCCAGTCAAAGTACAGCTGTATGATGACGACGACAATGGTAAGTGATCTCAGTTCCTTTTGGCCAGGCATAGCTAGACATTATTCGTATCTCTGCTTTTGTGTCTTCGTGGCAAAGGATAGGTAGACATTATTCGTATCTTCGCGTGTGCCCGTCAGGAAAATTTGTGTAACAGAGTCGTAAAAAAGATCATAGCCCTGTATGTAGATTAATGATCAAAATAGCAAAGTAAAGTAGCTTTGGTACACGGTGATGTTTAAAGCTTACAGCTTGTTAGGCAGTCTGTAGAAAGTATAACATTTCAAATGAACTGAACAAACCCGACAAATTTAACCCAGCTGGACATAGGACACCAGCTGGCTATGGGCTGTTTAATTTTTAACATGGCGCCCATATTGAACTCGACCCCCCTGAACTCGTTTCCAAACGTATCGATTCGAGACTCGGGGTACGAAATATATTGCCTCTGACCAAAATTACCGCTGTCTGACAGTGGTCCATTTACAAAGCGTAGCGTGGCGAAGTTGAATTTTGAATCACCGCAGACAAACCCAGTTGTTGACCAGAGAGCAATTTGACCCTGGAATATCTTCAAGCAAATCCAGTCCTAACCATGAAGCCACTTCGCCTTCTTAATAAAATACCGTCTGCCTATTCGTAAAATATCCATCAAAAAGACACGTGAAAATAAATTCTCATAGAGGGTATTCGCCGACGGACCGGTGGGGACTGATACTCGGTAAATTGATTAGAACAGCTCTCAAGTTGTGTAATGACTTTTCATAATGTTGGTTTAAAGTTATCTTTATAGTTACGTTTATTTTGTAATGTTTCACCAGAAAGCGCGGCTCAAGAAGAAATATTTTTTTTAAAAAAATACAGAAATACCGTTACGTTAGGAAGTGCAGCCGGGTGATGTTTTTGTGTCATGTATTTCTCCTAGCTTATCTTTTACCCTCATCTGCTATTTAAGTGCACCTAACACTGGGCTCCTTTGCAACCGTATTTTTTGTCGGTCCCATTCAAGGAGAATGGCAACGACACAATAGAGGGAGAATGGAACCGATTCGAAAAACGGCTGTAAAAGAGGTTTACCTTACCCAAACGTATTTTGTTACTAAGAAAATCCCTCCACCTTCAACAAACACATTTTACCATTTCACCTCGAGATTTACTTTTTACGTACACCACACGTTCAACAAAATACCAGTCATTTTAAACCACAATTGAGCTGCGAGAGGCATGGATCTATTCTTGATCTGACGTCACAAACTTCTTTGCATTGCATATTTCCAACCTCGTTCCCAAACTCTCTCTCCTCTGCTTCTCGTTGGGAGAAAGACCCTGGTTGCGGCTAGTCAACTCTGGGTGGTAAAAAAGTCTTTTGGGCGGAAGGGGTGGCAGAGTATTTTGATTGTTGCTGACACAATCTTTGAGGGTTTCAAAACCTCAAGCAGTCGCTAAAAGCTACCCGCTTCATCGAGGTTCGAAGTCGCATTTTGCTGATGAAGAATGCTACATTATTTCTGCCGTCTCCAAAGACTCTCGTTCACAAAAAAATTGGCAGTTGGATGAACACAACTAAACTTTTCGACGGGTTAGCACATGTACAACGTCAGGTACCGAATCGAAGTGAAACCAGTGGATCAGTCTCTTGAATATTTGAATTCGGAGGTAATTTATTTTCTTCGTTGTGTGGGATTTTGGATGTTAAAAAAGGTATTTCTGTCACACGGTCGCCGGTTAATTCAATTTAGGCAACATGAAACAGCGAAACAGTTTAGTAATTCGACCGTCTGGAATTGAAATCAGAGTACGCTGGATATATATATAAATATATTTTGTCTGACCTGTGTGAAGCTTTGAGTAGGACTGGAGAATTTCAAAGGTCTAGCTGCCCGTGTGTGATTTAAAGCGATGTCCAGCAATCGCGTTTCTTTCGCTTCAGTTGAGATCGACAAAAATTATTTGTCCACTCTACCCCGGTGGAAAAATTTGTGTCACAGGTAGACACGTGACCAGCTGCAACCAGGGTCTTTCTCCCAACGAGAGGCAGAGAAAAGAGAGCCTGGGAACGAGGTTGATCTCTTACAAGGCAGTTTGTAAAGTCAAGTATGAAATGGACCCGTGCCTCTGACAGCTCGGTCAAATAGGTGGGTACAAATAACAAGACATTTTGCTGGCTCTATGTAACGGGTGTGGCACATAAAAAGTCAAATTTCGAAGTAAAAATGGTAAAATGTGTTTATTGAAGCGATGAGAATTATCTTAGTAACGAAAAACATTTGGGGTAAGGTGTACTTTAAGACTGTGCATGTAGTGGATTTGGGCAAGCCCCAAAGTAACATGGTATGGCTGTGCGAAAACACGGTATGATTTTACAATGATTCCGGGAAAAAAAAACCTCGATTTTGGATGCCTGTGAAATCTTTACCGCTCGGATTAGAAAACGAGCTCTTTCGTCTTGCCCGTGTAGATTGGACTGAAGTCTTAATGCTAGTAATTTGGCAACTCAAGTCGCCAAGAAACTTTTAAAATTTCCGTCAGTATAGACGTTTGTCAATTACGGTAATATTATCACTGATGCTGTTACGAAATATTTAGCGGCTCCTTGTTTTTCAATAGAGGATGATTTAATGACCAGGGAATTCGGATATGGGCGTTTCCCAGAAGGTCCCACTCGAGAGCTTACACAAGGCCAATCCATGATCGTGTCAGGCTGCGCCTGGGACTTTTCTTCAGATGCTGATCCACTGCTGAGGCTCAGCAAATACAGCTGTAATGGAAAGACGAGTCCTGTGAAAATTGCACTTGACCGAAGCCAGTGTAACTACCAGCTGAGCCAGTTAAAGTACGATAACAAAGATGTATCCAAAACTGTTGGAACTTATCAGTGCTGGGGAACTAAAGTGTTTCTCAACAATGGAACCTTGACTCAACGAAATGAAGACTAAAATTAACTGTAAAACAATGCCTCAAAAGAAACACATTAAAGTATAAAACGCATAACTTGTAGAGGCTGGATTTTTTATAAATAAGTACTTTGTTTCGGTTTGACGTTGCGTTCGTCCTGACAACGCATCCCTAAGTTGTGGATATCATCTGATTTTATGATTTTCCTGTTATACCATTTCAGTTGGTATTTATTCCTTCCTGTGTCTTTCAGTACCCTTTTTATTCCAGCAAAGGATACTTTTCCTGCATACCTAAAAAAAATGCCTCAAGGTTTTTCTATGGAAAGAAGAAAAGGGGAAGTCCAAAGTGCTATTCCACAAATTTTGTCGAAAGAGTCGTCGGGATATTTTTCAGTTATTTAGTCGTGTAGTTTTCAGAACGGATTATCACTATCTATTCACTGATTTCCTTTTTCAAAAATTAGATACTGCGAGCCCATCATTTGAATTTGCGGTGACACAATAGGATTAGACAGAGATGATGGGCTCGCAATATCCCAACGTACCAAGAAACAAATATGCAAGCTTTTCGCCGACAAAAACCTGAAAATAACTATTGAAGCGAACAAAAAGGTGGTAAATTACTTAGATGTGACCCTGGACCGTAACACCGGAAAACACTATCCTTTTATGAAACCTGGCAACGTACCATCTTATGTACACGCAAAGAGCAACCATCCACCGAACATCATCAAACGAATCCCAGAGAATATAAACCAAAGGCTGTCGAATATCTCGTCTGACGCAGCTAGAAACAGTTAACAAAGCAGCACCGATGTACCAGGCAGCACTAGGCAAGACCGGATATGCATATAAACTGAGGTTCAACCCGAAATACAACAGGGAAAAACCCCGCAGGAAAAGAAAAAGAAACATCACGTGGTACAATCCACCCTTCGACACGAGAGTGAAAACTAACCTGGGAAAGAAGTTCTTGCGTATCGTCTGCGAATGTTTCCCCAGAGGACACGCCTTAAGACCTATATTCAACCGCAACATCCTTAAACTATCTTACAGCTGTATGCCCAATGTCAAGAGCACAATCGACGCACACAACAAGCGCCTGCTGATTAAAGCAAGCCAACCCAAGCGAGAGCATAAGCGACGCCAGTCTTTGCAATTACCGCAAGAAAGAGGACTGCCCGTTAGAGAACCAGTGCTTCACAAGAGGCATCATATACCAAGCCACTGTAACAACAGAGCAGGGGAGCGAATGCTACGTGGGAGTAACGGACACAGATTTCAAGTCTAGATACTGATCAAGTATCGATCTTTCAGCTGCCAAAGATGTTTGCTCACTTTGGTGTCATTATTTTTTTTTGCTCTCGTGTTTGAATGACATTTGGTGATTTCGCCATCTCGTCTCAAACTCCATGGCAGTGAGGCCGACGTATGTTTCTGTGCTTGTGATGGTGTCTTGGTACACTACTTCCTTGACTAAAGGACGTTTGCTTAGCTCTCTGCAGTTGCAGGGTTTGGGGGCTGTTTTTTCTTCAGGAGGCGTGTTCTGTCTTAGAATGGTTTTGTTGTTTCCGTCGATGATCTGTTTTATGTTAGGTGAACAACTATAACTCAGCTTAAGATTATTTTTGTTAAGAATTTTTCTTTATTTATGGTTCGGTGGGAAGCAGTTCTCGATCAATGGGAGTAGACCAAGTATGATTCTAGTAAGGTGCTGCTGCCTGTTAAGTAGCACGACTTATCGACAACTCAGTGCGCCTGCGTAAGTACGTTTCGCACGATTATGCACGAGTGAAAACAATAGAACTGTATCGTGTTTTATCAGATGATTCTGGTATACAGTAGATCAGCTAATACGACCACCTGTCTACACCCCGAGGTGGCTGCTCACGAGAGTTTGGACATACAGAACTTTGATGGAGTTCACAACAGACGCATTCTTGAGACAGATTCATTAACTTCTTTATTTTACCATTGATTAGTAATACGTTGTGACATTAAAATGGCGGCCCGATAAGGTTCTCGAGTAGGTCAAAAGATGAGTTATTGCACAAGGTTTTGCTAACTAAGCTATTTGTTGCTCTATAAAAAGTGTTAATTTCAATATGTCGGAGCTCTAGAGTAATAACTTTTCGTTTCAATGGCAAAACTCGATGACAGATATTTCTGTTACTTCACGGCCGCCATGTTTGTGTCCCTCCGAGGGACACAAACATGGCGACTTCATACAAAGCTTTATAAATTTGAGTGAAAAACTTCTCCGAATAACGGGAGAATGAAAAACTGCACAGACCTAAATCTCGGCGAGATTGTTTATATATCAATCATCTTTCATATCCCAGCTTCTTGACTTAATTTATTCAATGGTTATGATTTTTATTTTTGATGGCGTGACACTGCAAACTTGCCATTATGTTTTTCTGTTTTGAAGTTTACAGTGTAACTTAACTTTATTACATTGTATTTAAAATGACATTCTATTGTAAGTGGAGAAAAAGACTGACAAGTTAAAACAAGAAACTATAACAAAATTGAAAACTAGATTAATTCATAGCTGGTATGATGTTAGCTGAGAAACTCCACTGCTCCTGAACTCTATGGCCACAATACTATAACATCCAAATAAAAAATAACAATTGTCCAAAATGTAAGAGGAAAAAATTTTGACTTCTAAGTACCATTTTTAAAAAGAGGGAGAAAAAGCATAAGAGCATTAAAAAATAAAGATTTTGAATGCTATTCTTGCGTATTAGCTAATGATCCAAACTTCGCTGCCATCAGACATTCGTTTTATTATACTCATGCGCAACTTACGTGAAGCCGCTGGTGTTTTCTCGGTCCACTCTTCTGCTCCTTATCTGTCGCAGCATGTTCTTACGGCAGTTCATTAACTTTAGATGATTCATCCGCTGTTTAACATCTTGAACCTGAGAAAAAAGACAAACTTGCAAATTCAAAGCACGATTCAGAAGTTTCAAAAACTTCCCTCAATAAAAAGCTAAAAGGTGAGTCAGTCTCCATTGAGTTTGTTGCTTGAAAACTGTTGGCAATGTCTGAAAATGTATTTGTTCATGAAAAGATATTCAGTCTTTCAGAAATAATCTTTGCTTCACTTTGCGTAGTTCACGTTATATATACACTTTACGCAAGAAAAACAAACTGCGAAGAATTTAATTAAACTATAGTGAAGTGCTCAAGGCATATACACCTTACTCCAAAATGGCCGCTATTTTAGTATTCTTTTGTTTACTTGAAAATGAGCCCTTGTTGCCTCGTTTAAGGGAAAATATTCTTTTGAAATTTCGAGTTTAAGAATGAGGCAACAAGGGCTAATTTGCAAGTTAACAAAAGAATACATAAATGGCGGCCATTTTGGAATAAGGTGTATTTTTAAGACGTGTCAGAAGAATGCGGAACAGAAGGAATGACGTAACTGTGAACCAGTCGCCGAAAAAAATCGAACTAAAAAACTGGGAAATGGTTGAACTGTACCACTTTAAATCTTCTATTTTGATTGGTTATTGTTGGAGGCCAGTGAGAAATAACCTTTTAAACATTTCATGTAGATCCGGCCTGGGAAAACCAATCCTTACCTTTGATATGGCGAAGACATCCAGTAGCTGCTTTTGAACGTCAATCAACATGTCGATTGCCTTAGTTTTTTCCTCATCGCCATCAGCAATATCACTCTTACTTTCCATGATCCTCCGAGCCTTCTCATGCGCTTCTTGTATGGACACTTCCTTCTGGAAGGACTTCCGTACGAGCTCTTCCTGCATACGCACCTTGTTGTCTTCTTGATGCTGTTTAATTTCAATCTTCTTTATCTTCTTTTCCCTCTTCAAGGCGGAATAAAAATCACTTTATATTATTTGATGCTGTATCTATTTCTGCCGTTCTCTGTTTGGCTGCCCTATTCACTAACTATTCTGTTTTAGATAGTGAGTAGCCCAGCAGTGTGAGATTGTTAACAAACTGCCGGCCGCTTCGTGGGGTTTTTGAAATGTCTGGGAATAGGATTTAGATAAAGTTTTAAACGGCTCGATTTCTATGCGTGATAGTTGACGAGAGCTGCACTCGCGTTAACCATCACGCGATAGAAATTTTGAGCTCATAATCTATTTGTTGATTAGATACATCCATGCAGACGGAAAAGTGAGCTAACATTGAAATGTAAAGAACTTTAACTGCAGATTCAGCCGAGAGTCTCTGCGAATGACGTCATTTTGTAGTTAGCATGACAAACGTAACTAGCGCCAGTCTCAAACTGCGCGTTAGAATGACTAATTCGTAGAAGTTTCAGTTACTGTCCTCACAAACAACCATGACAGAACATCTTGTGAAGAAAATTCGTAATTGCGGGTATCTATAACGACATAAAGTTTGTAATACTTAATATAATGTTAATTTTAACCCCAGCATACAACGCTTTCACACAAGTACATGTATCACTATTTTTTAATAAAAATTTTATCTAAGAAAGCTAGAGTTGGGAAAGCTAGAAAGTTTCGTTGGCAATAGAACAATGGTGAAAGCCAAGCCTCTGTCCCTGTTAAAGTTAAGTACCAAATGTCCTCGGCTTAGTGTCCGAACGAAAGACTCAAGCCCAGATAAATCGTAAAGTTATTTGAATGCTTACAAGGACGTTTTGGTTTCAGGTGGGCGGATAAGTGTACTAATTTTATCAAACCTTGAGCTTGGAGAATATTTTCAGCAGCTGTTCTTGAACCTCTAGGAGTACATCGGTTGAACCTCTTCTTTCGTTCATTTGTTGTTGATATAATTCAGCTCTTCTGTTTCTCTCTTGTTCTATGAGTTCTTTCTCATTTTTTCGCGGTCTTCGTCTTATCTCTTGCAGCATCATCTCCTTCAAGTCCTCGGTTTTCTCGCGTTGACTTTCTTCTTTTGCCGCTTTAGCGTCCTGAAAAGAGGAAACGGCAGGCTATAATTTCCGCTCTTTATAGAGACTACTGACTGTGATTCCGGGGGGACTCCCATATCAAAATGACGGGGGTGCTCGTCGTATCTGGATGTATCTGGATGTCTCTCCCAGTATTTTTAAGAAAGCCAATGCCATGCGCAATTTTTAAGAAAAACCTTTTAAGGTTCTTAATGGACAAACATTTTTAGAAAAAATGACAGTAGGTAGTTTTGGTAGTTTTAGTAGTTTTAATTATTGTATATTTTATATTTTAGATCTGTGATACTTGTATTTCTTATTTTAGATTTTAATACTTTTTATTTTATAGAGGACCTCCCTGAAAACCACGTATTTACGTGACGGGCGCTTCCTCTTTAAAGATTGTTTTTATTATTATTTTTTTTTTTTTAGGGGTTGAAACGCGGTCTTGGCAGCCCTTGGGGTGTTTAGCCTTGAAAGGTCCACCGCGGGAGCTTTTGCGGTACGTTAGGGTGTTGAGCAGAACAAATATGACAGGAGTTAATGTGTTATGAAAGAATTGGTACCTCTTAGGGGGGGAAAAATTTCAAGCCACGCCCACAAAACAAGATCTTGGTACCTCTTAGAGGTTCTCTTCAAACTTTCAGACGAGCACCCCCATCTTTTTTACATGGGAGTCCCCCCCGGGCTGTAATTTCACTGGTGGTCCGCGCAACTTTTGACCACTTTCCTTCAGCCGGAGAAAAACTCCGTCGATATCTTATCTAAAAACCTCTTTCTTGAATCCCACTTTTCTGAACACGTTTGATGATTTTTTTTCGAGTTTAACCCGTTAGGACAAAATATTCGGTGAAAAGAATATTACCGTGTAATTGCTGGTTCTGCTGTTGGGTTTTATCGTAATAGCATTTAGTCTAATATCCTTGGTTATATTGGCTACAAATTCACTGAGTATATCAGTTGTAAAGAATTTCAGTACCATATTGCCCCTGCTAATAAACTCAAATTGGTGGGCATCATCATCTTAGCCATTGCACAGATAAAATAAATTACAATATTTACGGGGGAAGCCACATGAGCCTTAGCTGGTTTTCATGTGGGTCCTCCATCCTGGGCGAATTATAATTTGGAAACGTCGGTTTTTGTGGCGGGACGAAAACTCGACCCACTCATGGCACCGGGACGGAATCGAACCCGGGCCACATTAATAATGATAATAATGATAATGACCATGATCATGATCATGGTCATGGTCATGCTCATGCTAATGCTAATGCTAACGCTAACGCTAATAATAATAATAATAATAATAATAATAATAATAATAATAATAGTAGTAATAATAATAATTTACCAGTTTATATTGGTAGGAAGCGAGCGCTCTAACCACTGCGCCATCCCTGCTCCCCTGTTATACAGTAGCACTGCATTTCTATTTACTGCAATCAAGAAGCCTAACGATATAAACCATGTTTTCTCTTTTGGCTTCCTCGCCAACTTGATGCCTTTTGTGCTGAAAACCGTGACGTTACAAACGGCTAATTTTCCCGTCCTTGTTAAATACTAACTCACCCGCATCATTTTAAAAGCGTTTTTCAAATCAGCATGTACGTGATTAAGCTTGTCGTTGGTTTCGGCCATGGCAATTCCTTCTTCGCTTATCGTCTCTGTCAACTTTCGCATCTCTTTAATCTTTCTTTCTCTTTCTAGCTCAAATTCTTGTCGAGCTTTTTGCCGTGCCATATTTCTCAGTAATTCTTCATGCATTTGATTTTTTGTTGTTTCTACAGTTCGTCGCTCACGTTCACAGTCCATTTGAAATTTTGCCTGAAACGTAACATAACGTAAACGAATTTTAAAAACGTGGATCGAATAGAAAAAAAAAAAAAGACGTACAATTATTTCGCTCTCACGATAACCAGTTGTTGTCTGACTCGGTATTCCATATCAAGCAAGCTATTAAAGTTTTGATTTGTAAAACACTAACAAAATAATTCCAAATATGAGAGAGGAGATAAACGAGAGCTAAGAAAATATAATTTTATTTTCGTTGTTTCTTCAATAGTCTGATACATCTGTTGTTGGCACTCCCCCTGCTCCTTTTCACGGTGTTGTGTCGCTTCACATACAAAAAACAGTTGTCCGCGTGTAAAGAGGTGGTATCTACTGCCAAGTTAAAGTAGGGAGGGAGAATAAGTCGAATGATAGGTTCACATCTTTGCTGACGACAATGTGTCAACTGTAAGGTAACCAATGGAAAGTAAGAGATCGGTGTTTATTGAAGTAGTGAGTTTGTGAGAAAGACAGACAGATGGACGGACAGGCAGACGGACAGACAGACTGACTTACTGACTGACTGACTGACTGACTAACTGACCTTTCTTTCATTCGGAAGGAAAGGGAGAGAACAAAATATATTTAACATTATAGCTTACATCATGAATAGCAAACAGATGTAAAAGTTCCTGATGGACATTCGATAGCTGGCCACTTTGGACATTGATGTCAAGTTCTGTTTCTTCCACGTCAGCGGAGAAAGGTATTGACATTCGGCGAGCTCGCTCAACTTCTTCTGCCTTGTTAACCAACTTTATAGTTTCATTTATGTCGGAACCTTCAAGGTTTTGCGAATTTTGTAACAGCGTCGTCCCGTCTATCAACCAGTGCTCGTGTTCACTTTTCAACTTTGCCACGTTCTGTACAAGGAGCGATTGAAATTGCTAGTTAGTAAACATTTAATAGACAGTAAATAACTCTTTGTTTGTTTCTTTTTTAGACTGCCCGTCTGTTTCCCAGTTTGTATCGGATCCGATACCTCACCAAACTACAAGCGGTAATTGAATGCTTACATAAAAAGCGTTTCATTAGGGGCTGTGACTTGCTGATACAGTTTGTTTACGGCGAGTTCGACATCTGTGATTTGTCTAAAAAGGAAAATGTGCACCTCATACTGCCGCCAGTGGTTCAGTTCGTAGCTCCTCCTTGATGAAATATAAAATTATATTTTCCCTTGTGCACGCCTGTGGATGAAACTAATTAGAAACTATTTTCCTCCCAATAAGTCGGAAGGATTTCTTACGGAAGATCATTTTAGCGGTCACACTGCTTTCTTCTTGCTAAGCCCTGAGTCATTTCTCAGTTGTGGCATTATGATTCTTCAGCTATCGACTGGTAGCACATTATGATTAATTATAATATGCAATAAACTAGTCAAAATATGACTGAGAAAATTACTTCACTGTGATTGGCTGAGAGCTGGCAACGTTTGTAGTTTTCTCGGTCACATAATGCTTGAGCAATTAATTTTAATGAGGGATTAATGCTACTCGTGAAATTTGAAAATTCTTTCAAATATCACTCGTAGTAATTATTATATTTTATCTTGTTTCAGAGTACATTGCTGACCTCATCTTGAGCGCTCAAGTTGGAAAAACTTTCTAAAAACGTATTTCGTCGCAAACCAAGTGAATTTTAATTGCATGAGTTAATTTTGATTATATGAGTCGCTCAGACATGAGATTTCACAAAGTAATTGAATTAGAAAATTTCAGGCTAGGTTTGGATAGAGCTGTTCTGGAACAAATTTTAGAGTTTGAAGAACAGTAACTTAATGTTCGGTTTGATGAAGGGCTCTTGTCTTAGGTATTCTTTCCTTCCAGATCATTTATTGATTTCGTTAATACCTTATGATGACCACAATGCCTCCTTAACAAGCTTCTTACTCCCATAATCTCTTTTTCAATCTCCTCTGGGTCAAAGTCTGTATCATTATCTTCATCACTTTCACTGTCGCTTTCTTGTTGAATGGGTGGTCCACTTGCTTCCCCACTCTCGCTCATGTCCGTGTTGATTTTTGACCCTGAATCACCCTCTAAGGTCCTCTGGCTCTACACACTTTTCATACAGCCGTCTTTATTTAGAGTGTTACGTAACAAAGTAATTAAAGTGAATTACGTAATTCCTTCCAATATTTTCCAGCGCGCACAACTGTCCAAGTATTATTTTTTGTTGTTTCGCTTGACACCAAGTTATGATGTATAATGTATCATTGCGTTTTGCTGGCTTTGTTTAAAAAAAAAATCAGAAATGGTTTCACTTTGGTTATGTCTGTATATAACTTCATGCAACATAAGTTGCCGGGAAAATGTCAAATTCCATATTATAGGGCATGGAGCGTTCTTTTGCGCATGTTCGGTGGCGTATTTTTCATTTATTTATTTATTTATTTATTTATTTATTTATTTATTTATTTATTTATTTATTTATTTATTTTTTGTGCACCGACGGCCGATTTCTTAAGGTTTTATTTACGGATTTTGCATTCTTGCGTTATGATCGCAGAGGGAGTTTGATCCATACAAAGAGGACAGGACAATAAGGTTTCTAAAGACAAAAGATTATCACAAATCCGCAATAAAAAATCGCAAATGATCCCCAGTGGCACGTGGTATGAACTACTGAGTTGTACGATTTCTATTGGTTAAAAACTGTCCAGGGTCTTGTCCAGGGAACTTTACAGCATCGCGCTTGCGCATTATCGTTACACAGGTCCTTAGCATGTGACCTTTGCCAGCGGCTCGCGCTTGCATCAAGGTCAACAAGCCAGTGCATGCCATGTTATATTTCTTGACGCAACTCAGTCAATACACGAAGATGTGTTTTCAAGTCGATTTACAAAATTCTCGGTTTTATTTCACTTGGAACTTTGGTCACTCTTGAAGTGGAAAATTATAATTTCAGGGGAGACAATTTCTACGAACAGCGAGGGATTTCCTGGTTGCAAATCCGTACTGTAAGATAATTGAGATACCACGCGCGGTCTCATTGGTGTGTTCAGATGAGAGTTCGCGCGTATTTTTGAGAACTATTTTATAAAAGCAACAGGGTACATTTCCGTGCTTACATGACTTCATCTAAACACTAGCGGGGGGGGGGGGTGGGGGAGAGTCGTTTGGGATTTTCCAAACCCCCTTCGTGTTTAAATGAGGCTTTGTGATGACGGAAAAAGTGCGCTATTGCTAAATTAACTGCAATCTGCAGGCCCATGACTTCACTCCTCCATCCTGCCACTGTATGGATTTTTTTGTCAGTAGGCCCGACTTCCCTGTCACTAGCCAACTGGACTACCCTCCCAGCACTTGAGATTCTTAACAATATTCTACTTCATTTTCAATGTGTTTTAATTTAATTTATTTACAATTTGCAGCGCCTAATACAATAATACTCAAGAAGTCATTTATCACTAAACAACTTGTTCCAGCTTGGTAACTTAATTTTCTTTACATCTCGTCTAAACTACGGAATATTTCATTCAGCCGTCAATCTACAGCTCTTGATGCCTTCCCTCCTCCTGTATTGTTTCTCTAGTCACCTCCAGCTCATCATCATTATCGTCCATATAAGCGTCATTCGGTTCTGGACTGTCCATGCCTGGGGGAATATCTGGCTCTTTTGCCCAGTCTATAAACCGCTGTATGGCACGACGAAGATTTCTCTGTACTTCTTTCTTTGTAACCTGGTCTGAAGTGTTGGTTTCGTCGCGTAGTTTATCAAAAATCTGTGATTAAAGTTAACGAGAAGTGACCGTAACATAATGCGTAGTTGTTTATGACACGCACAATAAAACAACTTACAGTGATCAATATCACAAGTAATGCATGGCCCAATTCCTAACGGAACCGTCCTCTAACTAATTAAAGATTGAACACGAGTACGCGCTTAATACATGAATGCTTCCGAGCTTCAAATGCACTGGGAACGGATAACATAGTACTCTCGTTAGCCTGGGAATAGCACTTTGTCAGCCTTGATGACATTCCAGTTAATGTGAGTAGTGCCCCTGGCAACCTGAATAGATGTAGGTTGTATCTTTGTAGTTCGCAAATCGATTCCGTTCTATCTTACCTTTTTCTGTCCGTTGTTTGTAACTGTATCATTCCCATGTATTACAATTTTTTCTAATTTTTTCTATTTTGGACGATAATTTTCCTTGTGTTCGAGTCCATGCACGTCTCCTTTAACAAGGAGGATAATTGAGGATAATGTTTAAAGAGGGAATCACACGAAAAGCAGAGATTTCTGGAGGGTTCTCGAAATAAAAGCTATAAAACAATAAAAACAAAGCTATTATGAAACAAGATTTAAAACAGCAGCAAAAGCGAGAAAAACAAAAGCCTATTTCAGGATTGGGGAACAGAAACCATTTGTACTTGCTACAAACAGTTTCCATCACTTCTCATCTGAAATTAATGTCTTGTTTTACTTACAATCTCTGCGGTGGCTTTTGTTCCTTGAATCACCTGTGTTGGGGAAGCAAAAAAATTTATTAAAAGAAAAATGCGACCGCTTTCTAAATTTACATTCTACATGTTAGCAACCCAGTACAGTGTATACATGCACATTCTTAAAGATTTAGTCTGTGTAAATTATTCGCGTTTGCCGATCAAAAATTCATGGGAATCCCACAGCGCAAAACTGATCAATTCTTCTCGTTCCTTCTTGGTTCATTATCTATATTAGTTTTGCCACCATTTTGGTGATTTTGACCATTTTGATCGAAAAAAATTCTTCAAAAAATAAAATGACACTGCACATGTGTATCTGAGTAGCTGATGACTGTTAATTACCTCAACATAAGCATTGATAAACTTGTCCTTAACCACATGCCCGTCAACAGCCAGTAGCTCATTAAGTACATCCCTACAGTGTGGTGTAATATTAACAAGCACATCCAGTTAGTACGCATAGCAAATTAACATATAGAAATTCCCAAAATTGGTCAATCACAACACCATTTGGGAGAAAATAGGCTAGAACCTATGTACATGCGTATCACAATAAATGATAGAGATCTATTTGGTAAGTGGTTGCCTCCTTCTAATGGGAGGACCATCATTTTTACCACATTAAAAAAACAAACATCTTGTATGTGTTCAGGAACACACACAAGATAGAGATACAAGATACACATAGAGAAAGTTAACTGATAACTTAAGCACAATTTACATTTAATGCATGTACATATAGATGAAGGATTAAGGTTGCAAAATGTTCCAACTTATCTTGCAAATAACCAGCAAAATATAACATGCGCTCCACCCGTATCGCAGAGCTCATGGGTTTGAATTTTTCAGGCCTTATTTTTATAATTCCTTAAGTTGTGTACATAACTGTGATGATCACTCGAGTCTTTACATAATATTCTTCACTTTCCAGCAAAACACCAAACATCATTATTTTGGAGGTAGCATAGCCGAGTGGTTTAGGTCACTGGTGTTGTGATCCGGAGGTCCTGGGTTCAAGGTCTCCACCCTGCCACTAGCGGGATTTGTTTCTCGGTGGCCCTGAGTTCAAATCCTCGGTCACGCTTTGTAAATAGCCAACTGGTCTGCCTCCTGCCAGCTGGGATTTTTAACTATGTTACGTCTATTTGAAATATTTCTTTCCTTTGTTTCAGTGGCATGCCTGTAAACTATCTAAGCTTAGTGCTTGTATAGCTAAGTGCATGACCACTATAAATAAGATTTACATTTACATTTTACAGCAGAGAGTTCCAACTGAAGAGGACACGAGTATTACCTGACTTGTGACACATCAATGACCCCATATTCTGCCTCTTCAGTGTTACTAACATCTGTTCCTTCAAACTCGAGAACAAGTGCCCTCATTTTATCACGACTTAAATTCCTGACATCATCTTTAGTTATAAATCCTTTTTCGTTGCCGCCAAGCCAGTCAAACATCTGCAAAACAAAAAAAAATTATTATTTTTATCAAGTAGTACTTCTAATGATTAATGTAGAGCTTATTGTCTTGATTAATTATTCTGATCAGCACCTTTCTCTGAATGACCCGCCCCTTGGGGAACCTTGCCAACCACGAACTACCTAATGACAAACTGCAAACAACTTACACAGATGAGCATGATGTCATGTTTTCATGTGATCATCATAATATCCAAGGTCACAGTATGATGTTTTATTTATTTAGAGTCCTCATAAGAGGGAATTGGAGTCACAGGTTTGAATAAAATTTAACAAGATGAGTTACTAGACCTGATCTGACAAATTCAAGCAAACTTATTGTTCAGGTTCAGATCTATTGACCTGTTGACTATTGATACCTTTTTAAAACTTAATACCTGGAACCATGCATAGTGGAAGCCCATTGATCTGGCCACCAAAGGGCTGCCAAAATTATCACTTGCCAGAGTGGAAATATAAATTACTGACTCAGCTTTTCTAAATGGGCTTAAAGAAAGTGCCTGTAGTAACGAGGTGGTCCAATATTAATGAGGTGGCGGTAGATTAATGACAAGATTTATGCATAATAATCACCATGAAACCATCTTTAAATCAGCTGACGTTTTTTCATCATTTGTCCCCTACAATAATCATTAATAAACTGAATGCATATGTAACTATGGCTAGATAATACTCAACATTCTTTCAAACTGTTTTAAACTCGATTCTCATACCTATAGAGGTAGTGTCACATGGAATTTCTATTTATTTACAGAAGCATTCACTATCCTTCAACTGACTCAATTGAAAAGGAGGCTTAGCTGATACATGTCACCCTGTGCATTTTTAAAAGTAACTTTACTAGCATATCTCTCTTTATGTCCCATTTGCTGTTGTTTTGTTTGCTTTGTTGCTAATGATGTTGTTGTTGTTCTTGTATTGCTAGATGCTCTCTCAAAAAAGCTTTAAATTTGTGATTATCACTGTCTGTGTTTATTTCCAGCAGAACTGCAGGTAGCCGTCTGGTATGTCATAGCCTTAAAATCAGTTTTACTGAGGCTGCAGCTACTACTGAGATTATTAGAATAACATTAAATAAACAACCTGAGCTGGGTTTACTGTAGCAGGTATGCTCAGTAAAATAAATTAAATGCTGTAGTTATTGTTTCTGCATATTTAAATAATTATTATAACTGCACTTGCATGTACATACTGACCAATAAAGCATTCTCTTTCACACCTTCAACATAACTATACAACCCCACCTAAACAAGAAAGAAACCACACACTGAATTCAGGTCAATGCTTACACATGTAGTATGTAGCAATTATTCTGAAAATAGTCACAGTCATAAGTCAGGATTTTCTTCTTCATGTTAATTAGCCACTAACTGAAAATAATAAATAGAAAATGAATAAATAAATATATAATAATGATGATAATAATTTAATAAAAATCACTAATTAAAAAACTTTACATGATAATTATTTACAGCACAAAACTATTTACAAGAACAATTGTAATACAGTTGTTAAAAAGGAAGCAAAATGTAGTTTCCAGAAATAACTAAAATTGAGAAGACCTCAGAATTGGGGTTGAAGGGTGGTAAGGGGTCCTGGTGGAGTGCGCTGGCGCCACCAGGTGTCCTTCACAAATGCTAGGAAATGCCTACCGTGTCACAGGTTCTGCCACCAAGTCAGCTGTCACATGTCCTCATCACAACCCCGGTAATGCAGTTGTGCTGCAGCTGAGTGACAACAGCAAAAGGCGGGTATCTGGCGCCTTTCAAATAACAGGATGTTGTGGCTAAGGGAAGGACACCCTGACAGAAAACACAGGCCCTCCAGGTTGGGGGTTGGGCATGGGGCCAATTCCTCCATCCCGTAAAAAATTATCAATTACAGAAGCCAGAAACTCTAACAAACAATGTTACATGGGGAACAGCACAATTACTTGCCTAATTCCAAATGATAATTTTATGACATGGGAGGATGGGTTGATGACGGGAACAGGTGTAAGCCGAAAGGAAGCCTGTTCTCCGATAGAGTCGT